TCGCGGGGGATCGAACTCACCGAAAAAACGCGAAACAAGGGTCGCCAGAGATGATTTGCGCAGGTTGCTGTGCGTAGGTGATGGTGGCGATGGTGCCTCACGAACATGAAGGAAACGAGAGATTGATGATGATGAGAGGGGAACGCCGATGATGGTGGTGATCGGATAGGTTGACGGGAAAAACAGAAAGCAAAAGAGAAAAGTGAGAGAGAAAGGTGAAGTCACGATCAGTAATTCTCAACAGAACAAGCGAGAGATTTTGACAGATAGAGATCGGGAATATAGAGAAGAAAAGGCTGCGATGGTCCTGAGAGAATGAGGAGCGCACGATTTAAACGAGAGGCTTAGGGTTAATAAATCTTTCTTAACCCTCAAGACACACACTCATATATTGGGGCGAACCAGGTCGGGGCGAGAAAACCGGGTTCGGGGTGTTTGGCCCGAAGGTTCGTTCTTGCGGTTAACTCTCGGGCTCGATAGATCGCAACGATAAATAAAATAGAAACCGAAAAATAAATAAATTGCACATATATATTTTAAAATAATAAAATAATAATAAAAATAAGAATACACATTTAGGCAATTAATTACAATTAGACAATTAGTAATATTTAGACATTCATTAATAATAATACTAATAATAAATACAATCACGAGAATCAGGTAATGACAATATTAAAAAAAATTCCCAAAAATCCACAAATAAACGGGGCGCTACAGTCTACCCACCTTACAAAGAATTCCAGCCTCGGAATTCGAAATACAAACTACGACACGATACAAACGAGAAAAAGAGGGGAAAACATCAACACATGAAATTCGGGTATCTCTTCCGAATTTCGGTCCCCCTCCTCCCAAGTCGCCTTGTCTCGACAACCACCACTGGACTTTGACGAGTACCCCTCCCGGCCTTTTTCTAAAAGTCACCGGTACCTCCAAACAGGTAGGGTTCTGTCTATCACGCAGTCCGAGATCACGCACACGTCTCCTCCATCAAGAGGCATATGACGTGTCATGCATCTTCGCGAGCTCCGGTGGTGGAGTCAACCATCAGGCTAAACCATCGACTTCGACCAGCGCGTCACGACCCGACGCGCTTCCGTCCGCGACCAGCGACCCGAGCCAGCCTGTCCGCGAACCACACGAGCCCGACCCAACCGAGACGTGACCTGACCCAAAGTTTGACCCGTTCGACTCAAGTCCCGACCAAACCGAACCCGACCCAACCGGCCCGAGCCCGACTAGCCCTGTTATGCCCCGTTGGATTATTGAATATTTGGAAATTATTTATTATTTATTTTTATTATTATTATTTGCCTTTATTTGTTGTGGTTATTATTATTGATTAAATTTTGAATATTATTGAATGTCTATGTGATTTATCTGTTAAATTGCAATTAAATGTCTAATTGTCTAAGTATGATTTAATTTTCAACTTGTAATTAAATGCTTAAATGTTATTATTATCTAATTAAATGTATATTTGTATTTTCCTTAATATTATTATTTTTAAAATTAAATTGTGTGTATTATAAATATTTATATATGATCCGATTTAATTTATCGAGCCCGAGAAAAACCGTATTGAAGCTACGTCTAGTCAGACCCGAGAGTCGAATCGTTTCATTAAACCAGCCCCGACCTGCGAGCCCGTCAAACCGAACCGGCCCGCCCAGTGTGTGTTGTGTGTGTGCCTTGAGTTACAAGACATTAAACCTAATTGTTATATATTTTCCTCAATCGGCAGAATAGAGAATATAATCTTCCCGCAGCCTTCTTTCTTGTTCTTCTCTCGATCACGCATCCTCCATCTCTCGCAAATCTGATCGAAGCCGAGCAGAGAAAGAAGAAAATCCCACCATCGTCATTTTCGTTAACCTCCTCAGTCCCGATTACCCATCATCACCTTCGTCCTTCACCATCATCACCACCTCCCCTCACCTGATCGTTGTCATCAACCCCGCACCATCACCTTTCCCCTGAATATTGTTCTTGTCGCCATCACCACCTGATCACATCATCATGTCGAGAACCCTCCGCCGTCCCCTTGCCGTGAACCTCCGCATGGACCTGCAACTCCGACGACCACTTCCGGCGAGTTCAGCAGCCAGTCATCCCCCGCAGCGATCGCTGGCAGCCGCAAGCCTGACGTCGCGACCTGCAATTCCTGCGACCTCGACCTCAACGAGTTCTCCCTCCGTGTAGCAGCTCCTCCGACGCTACTCCTCCGTCGATCACGAGCCGCTACCCTTTTTTCCCAGCGAGCCGCACGAAGCCGTCGAGCTGTCAAGCTCGTTCGTTGCCGCTAGCCACCGCAAATCGAGCCCGTCAACCCTCGTTCGTCTCGTTTTTCGATCGAATCCTGAGAATGGTACAAGGCTCGACCCGTATCGTTTAATTCTATGTAGTATTTTATGTGTGCGATTATGTGAGATGGGTGTTGAACGTGCTTCGTGAATTTATATACATGCCTGTGTTGTTTATGTGTCCGCAAGTTTAAATATATGTTGAATATATGTAGACGATCTCTTCAATTTTGAGAAATCAAACGAGACCTCGTCAACTTGTCAATTAGTCACTGTGGATTGGAACGTTGTATCGTCCTTAGTCTTATGGCGAAGACTTCGGACGAATTCGTTGTAAAACGAGTCGTAGATAAATTGTTGAACTTTAATAACTGCTGTTTTGGTGTTAGAATTATTAAAAATTATGTACTGCTTCGTTTGTCTTGAAAATTTTGAGGGTCATGTCTTCTATTAAACATCTGACGTGAGTTAAAATTTCGTAATTTTTTAAGGTCTGTAGCTAGTTTGATGAATTAGAATGATTTCTGGTCAATTTCATGTAAATTGCATATTAAATTGTGTAGTGATCAAAATTGGCTCAAATTTTACTATGTTGGCTCAAATTTTATGCTGTGTAAAAGTTTTAGAATTTTTGGACTAAGTTTGATAGGATAAATAATTTATTTTCTGATTCTGTAGAAAGTTGTTTTATTTATCATAAATCGGTTAGTTCTTGAAAAATTCTGAAACATGGCTGGAGTACTTTGTTTTTGTGTATTTTCATGCTGTTAAAAGATGGGAATTTTTTAAGTTCAATTTAGTTTAGTTTTAATTGAAATTTGATAAACTGCTGAAACTTGTAGGAATTTTTAAAATTCGTACAACTAATGTTCAGAGCTGAAATTTTGATATGTTGTCAATCTGATGTTGTAGTCTGTGGTATAAAATTTTCATAGGTAAATGTGTTTATTTGATCTGGTTGCTAATTTATGCTTGTTTTTGCCATAAAATTGCTTGAAATTTATAAAATAGCACACTTTGAGTTTGGAGCTGAAAATTGGTGGTTTTTCTTAATTCTGGGAGGTGAAATTTTGGTTAAAATTTCAGAGTTAAATTCGTATGATAGCCTGATCAACTTATTTTTATGATTAAACTCTAGTATTTTTAAATATATGGCTTTTGAAATAAAAACTGTAAATTGACTCGCTTTCCGTTTCTTTAAGTGTTTGACTTGGTCAATATTTGTGTTGGATTATGTGAACTCCCATGTGTATTTGGTTGAGTCTCAGTGTCGAGTCTAAGTGTTCCAATGTCCACAAGACTTCACAAACAACTTAGTCGAATCAAGTTCGGCTAAGAATAACTGTGAAAATCCGTTTAAGTCAGAATGGATGTTGATTATAGCATCTGGACTTAATGTAGGTGTTTGAGGAGTCGAGCCCTCGACCTACCGACCTGGTTGTGTGACTTCTCTACCAAATTACCAGGTGGGTTGTTATTCTAAAATTTGTTATGTTGTAAATGTTATTAATGTATAATTGTGGTATGATCAATGAATGCATGTGAACCATAAAGCCTTTGATGTGAGCTGTACCGACCGTCAAACGGTTATCCCCGTAGCTATAGAACATACCCGATGGGTAGTCTCCTTTATTTATGTATGGCCGTAAGACCGGGACATGGGCCATCAGCTGGTGATCTTCGTTTGTAAGACTAATTCGTAGATCTTGGCCGGCGGGGTGGATTACTCCTACTGGCTGGGCATCGTTGTAAGACCAACTTGTAGGTTTTGGCGTTCGAATCGAGTATCACCAGTAGTCTATGCGTAGGTGTGCACATGAGGGTTGACTCTGGGATAGGAGATGGGATGATTTAATGATTCGAATACATGTTGCAACCATACCATATTGATTATTGATTACTGTTTCATTATTGTGAATAATGTTTACTGCATAGTGGTGAGCACTACTTTTTCAACTGTGCTCATCCCTGCCTAAAATTCACGTTTCAGGTTAAGCGAGGCAGGTACGACGGCGGAGTAGCGCGAGTGGTGGTCGGTCTATAAGACCGGTCTTATTAATTGATATGCTTCCGCATTTATGAACTGGTTTTATGATTATGAACCTGGAGTATTATTACTTTTATGAATTTCGTATTTTATGACTGAATAATGTTTAAGGAGATACTCCTTAGGATTTATGAATATTGTTGGAACCCAGTTTGGGTGATGATTTATGAATTTTTGGAAAATCCGTTTTGGGAGTTAGTAATATTGTTGATTATTGATGATTGATGATTGAGTTTGATGATTGATTGTGTATTGAGAAATTGGTTAAGTATTGAAGTTCGTTTTGAAAATGAGTAGCGCCTCAGGTGCTTTGAAATAAATTTGAAAAATTTATTCTGACTTTCGGCAAATAAAAGTGGGGCGTTACAAGCCCGATCCGGTGATTCGTTCGAGATTTAACACTCGACTAGAGTCGACAAAGGCCAAACCCTTCCACCGACTGGGTTGTGGTAATCAGACGATCTCCATCAAAGGAAATCAGAAATGTCTCTGACCCTAACTATAGATTCCGCTGCATTAGAGTTTATTTTTCCAAAATTCAAACGTGCATGTTGTTGTCGTTCCTAATAGAACCCAACATCTTGTATCGACATCCTACAATGACGAGGCATATTTCTAGGGGACTGGTCTTCACTTTCATAACCTTTGAACAACTCTTTGCATCCATGCTCATACAGCAAATAGGAGTATCTGTTTCGTAAATACTCCACCTCTAAAATAATTGGAAATTCTATTCCTTTCATGAAATGCTCGGCAAATGCAGCCATAAAAATTCCACAATCACTACAAAGAAAAAAATTTAAAATTGTCTTCTACTGACAAACAAGTCAGAAACCAAAAACAAAAGTTCATTTACAAAAACACAAATATAAACATAAAGAAAAAACATTAACTTACCCTTTTTCCTGTGTCGGCAAATCAGTAACAAAAATAATTTCAATCGAGTCCGAAAACTTTTTCTCAGCATACGCTGTAACACCCCGCTTATCAGAGTAAATTTTTCGCAACTTTTACTTCGATTATACTTAACTCTTTTGAAATCTTTTGCGACTAACTCGGGATGCTACTCAAAATCATCATCTTAAAAATCCGTTTATCTTTAAACTTTTTGTCTAATACTTCTTTAGACATAATTAAAACAGATTTTCTTTAAACTTGCATTTAAAATACCATAATCATATTTCTCATAATGGTAAAAACTTGAAATCTGAAATTCATTAAAATGCAAGTTCAAGTCTCAATATGCGTAGCGGAAATACTTAAAAACGTAGTTAATTATACAGACTGTTTTAAATGTCCGTATCAAAGCTTGTCTTCATCTGAATCCACGATCCACACCAACACTGCTCCACTCACACCTCCTCTTCGACCTGTTACCTGAAACTAAAACTCATGGGGGTGAGTAACGAATATGGATAATCATAAACCGATATTCATCGGCAACTCAAACTTTTCTCTTCTCTTTCCGATAGTTAGTCGGATACGTGTGCACACTCTGATGGATATTTCTCAGGCAACTCAGCGGCCTCCATCAGAACTTAGGAAGTACTCGTAAGGCAACTCGGCGGCCTTCTTCCCAAGCGTAATAAACTCATAACTTTAGGATATACTCATCTAATGGATATTTCTCAAGGCAACTCAACGGCCTCCATTAGAACTTTAGGATATACTCCGAGACAACTTAATGTCTCCTCATCCCATATGACATCAATATCGTACTCAATGTGATACCCGTTCAGGGTCCCCACCTTTTNANC